GGCGGACAGCAGGGTGCTACGCAGAGGGCCGATCGAGGCGTCAAGTCACAGGGCCAGCAGGGCGGATCAAGCAGGGCAGTGCTGTATTGACAGGGAGGGCACAGCTGCTTCACGAGGCTGCCAGGAGCAGCAGACAGGCAAGCGGTTTCCACGCGAGATTGATGGCAAGATGGGGAGATGGCAGCAACACTATCGACAGCCGCCGCGCACCTGCCGCTCGCCGCAGGCGCGTTGACTGTGTTGCGGAACCGCACCGACGGCTTCCGTGCCCGCAGCGCCCGATTGTCAAACACCAGGCGCGTCCCCGGCACTGCCTCGATGTCGCGCGGCGCGTCGCCGGCGGCCTTGGGGGCGACCTCCCACCAGTGCTGAAGCCGCACACCGCCGGGAGTCGGGGGGACACCTTGGGGGCCGTTGATCGTTGGTCGATCGGTCAGTCAGTTGAAAGGGTGAGATGCGTGCGCCAAGCAGACCAGACAGGTGTAACCAGTCGTCCAGACTGTGAGGGGGGATTGTGCACGCTGGCGCAAGCAAGCCGCGCCCCTTTCGCCCGCTCCGCCTGCCGCCGCTCGCTGAGCCCCAAAATGGGCATCTCCTAGACGCGGTGTGGGTGTTCTCCAGCAGCGCGGGACCTGCTGTGTCTAAAATGTGAACCCACGCTCGACGCTGTGCACCCCCCTCCCTGCCCAAGCCCACAGGCAGCCCACCTGGCTCTGCTTGGGCCCAAGACAGGTCACTGTCAATGTCCAGCTGCGTGATATGGCGGTCTATGAGGGGGTCCCCCGCCCTGAACTCCCACCACTCCGCATCCGCGCCACTGGCCTCCGCCGACCTCGCCACACGCGCCGCCTCGGCCTTGGACTCCCGCCACGCCTCCTCCTCCTCCTCCTCTTCATCGTCACACACGAGCTCGCGTCGCCGCGACCGGCCGCGGCCGCGCGGAGAGCCGCCTCCGCCGTCGCCGCAGCCGACGTTTTCTTCCAAGAACACGTCCCCGCCGGCGCCCTGCCGCTTGGCCGCCTTGCGGCGCGCGGAGCCCGGCGAGCCGCCTGCCAGGCTGCCGCCGAGGCCGCCGAGGCCGCCTGAGCCACGACGCAGGAAGGTGGGGAGGTGCAGGCTGGGGCCGCCACCGCCGTCGTGGCTGCGGTGGGAGGCCGGCTTTGAAAGGCCGACGGGGCCGTGGCCGCCCTCACTCAGTTCCCTGTATATATTAGTTTCGACGTGTTCGATGCGCGGCCGCGTTCAGGGGAGAGGGGTTTGCGCTGAGGCCCTGGTCAGCCTTAGGGGAGCGCATGCAGGGTGCTGACGCTGGCCGGTTGAGCATACGCAAACGGCAACTCCGACAAAACCAGGACGTGCCCGGGCCGCTCTTCAGCTGTGCACCATTATGTGGCCCTTGCTGCGGCGCGCCCCGTCGCCAACCTGGTGCCAGCGGTCCGCGGCGGGGGGAAGCCGTCGCCTGACGCGCTGTCCCCCGCGGGGGCGTTGGAGAGGAGGCCGCGGGTGGAGGTCTGGCGGCTGGGTGAGGAGCTGGGGCCGACGTCGGTGGGGGAGAGGGGTCCGCCGTCGTCGCTCCAAGGAGGGTGGGCGCTGCCAGGCGGGGCTCTTACCTGGGTCGTGATTGTATGTGATGTATGTGAAGGTGTATGTGTGTGATTGAGTGTGATCGTGCGTGTGTGTGTGCGTGTGTGTATGTGTGTGTGTGTGTGTGTGTGTGTGTGTGTTTTGTGAAATAAGGTGCGCAACTTTGATTGCAGGCACAAGTCTGTGCACAGTGGAGTTGGGTGGGCCGCGCCCACAGGCAGCGCACCATGCGTGTGTGTGTGTGTGTGTGTGTGTGTGTGTGTGTGTGTGTGTGTGTGTGTGTGTGTGTGT